CGTCCCTCAGGTGATGAGAGGTCAGGAAACGGACATGGGGTCCGCAAGGCGCGAGCAGGGCTCATCTCACGCCGCTGGCGCGGCTCGCCTTCTTGGTCATCCCTTTCAGGAAAAGGAGTGTCAGACTCGTAGTCGATCACCTTCACTCTCCAACGAGGTTGTCGTCACTGATAGCGTGTGCGGAGCACGACGCTCGGGCTCATCGAGCCTAGGATTTTCATCCCTCGATGCCGCGGATACACGGTCCGACATGGTACCGCGTGCAGAAAACGAAGTTGGGCTCTGCTTGTGAGCGCTGTCGAAATCAGCAAGACTTGGAGACTTCAGTGTCATTGCCACAGGGCTCATTAAGCAAGGAAGTCGTTTCGTTCCAACGCAGTGTAACGGACACGCAAGCCTCGTTGAGGCAATAATCGATTGGAACTGTAAATGTTCTCAATCTTAATGGGAGAGAGTGTAACGGGGTACACATACCAATGTTACATGTGTGTGTGTCACACCAGATGGGCATGGTGTGATCACACCCAAACAAGAATACGGTACGGGGCTGGATAGCCAGTAGTCATACATGTATTTAGATTTTACTATACATACTTGGGAAAATCTATGCATTTAAAATTTGGCGGTTTTGCCGCAGGTTTAGCGGATTGCGATCCGCTAAACTCGTACTTGTTCTAAGTATTGAACAAAAGGTTGGTGACCAAAATTACGCTTCCTCCAAGCGCAAAGCTAGTACAGCCCCGCTGCAATGAGAATGCGTAGCCCAGATTATATTTATATTTCTGGAAATGCTATATTATAAATAACATATCGAACGTCTATGTTTTACAATCTTTAATCATGGACTGCGTGGGGCAAGCAGCTTACGCGTTTGACGGACCTCTTCTTGACATGAATCATTATTCCATGAGTGGTCCAGTGCGTTTGAGGTTTGCTCGGTTTGCAGGTCAATAATTTACCGTCGTTACATAGTTAACTATATAAATAGCAAATGTAATATTGTCCAACTCACTACAGTGACGTTTGATGGACAGAGAGTGACACATTTTCTACACGTGGCATCTACCTCGTCAATACCGCATTCTGCTATGACTGATTCCGTCCAAAATGGCTGCTATGTGGCACTCATCTCTCTCCTGCTCGCTTCTAATTTCATCCTCATCCCCGTGCCCGTGCAACTTATCACATCAGCCTCTGCTATCGTGTATATTGGCTCGACGCTGTCGCTCAAGCTGAAGCACGCGCGAGAGGCCAGTGGGGAGAAAAATGAAGAAGTCATGAAAGCAGAGGATGCGTATATGTTTCCTCTATTGGGATCTGGTGTCCTTCTAGGGCTCTACGTTCTCTTCAAGATATTTGACAAAGACCTCGTTAACTTGCTGTTGACCTCTTACTTTGCGCTTATCGGCGCCTACAGTCTTACGGAAGCCTTTAGCCCACTGATATCGACGGTTGTGTTTAAAGGTGACCCCACGGTCTACAAGCGCAGCATCAAGATTCCTTTTTACGGCGTTTACAAGCTCGAACTGTCGACGGCGTGGATGCTCACCTTTGTTTTTGCTGCTGCTTTTGCTGCCGCTTGGTTCCACACTAAGCATTACGTACTGAATAACATCTTTGGGATCTCGCTTTCAATTAAGGGTATCGAGGCTCTTTCGCTCGGTAGCTTTAAAGTAGGCGCCATTCTTCTTAGTGGTCTATTTTTTTACGACATTTTCTGGGTTTTTGGCACCGACGTCATGGTGACAGTTGCCACATCTTTCGACGCTCCGATCAAACTCATTTTTCCGCGTGAATTTGCGACTGAAACTGAAAAGCAAAAGAATTCTATTCTTGGGCTCGGTGATATTGTGATTCCTGGTATTTTTGTGGCGCTATTGCTGCGCTATGACGCGCATCGTGCAAATGCAAGCAGTAGCATGCAAAAGTTCCCCAAGCCATTCTTCTATGTCAACCTCCTTTTCTACACGCTTGGTCTCGTAGCAACGGTGTCTGTGATGTATATATTTGATGCCGCACAACCCGCGCTACTGTATTTGGTGCCAGCTTGTCTTGGTTCGGCACTAGTTACCGCTTTTGTTCGTGGTGAATTTAAGGAGCTGTTGGAATATACAGAAGAAGAAGAAGAAAGCGATAGCCAGGACGACAAGAAGGAAGACGATGCTAAGGAAGAAGAGAAGAAGACTAAGTAATTGGTCTTACACTAGAGTCAATCAGACTTTCTTAAGCTATCTTTGGCAAAATCTTGAGCTTTAGTCTTTTTATGCTTAATCAGGCTTATTTTTTCTAGAACTTAACCCTGTGGTTAAATCCGCAGTTTTTCATTTACTCTTTTTATCTCTTAAGATGGCCCCCTACTTTGGGTAAGCTTTCAAAATGATAAATCTTATTGTTATCGAGTCTAAAACTTGCACTCCATACCGAAGCTGACGTTTTCACCTTTGTACTTTACTTGTAGATTGCGAACAAATTTATTCGTAATGAAGTCGGAACAACCTGAGATTGTTGTAGATGATTCAATGCTACTGGGACTTTCGATCAAGGACACCCCTTTACTTGTAGATTTAGATACAGCAGCAACTGACGCTGTACGCTCGGCGAAGTGCTGCGTCGCGAATGATTTAAATAAGTCGGCGGATGATAATCAGGCGATCGCGGCATCACCTTTTCATCCGAGACGCGAATTACTACGTCAGGTTTCCATGCGGCTTTATTTAAAGGGCAAAGACGTGGCACATGATGTGCTGCGCAATGTAGCACCCTTTCGACTGGCAGATGCTGAGGAGGTCTGTAGTAATGCGCACTCGAGTCTGGAGCATGAGATTCGCAATTCAAAGAAGATGAGAAAGCATCTTTGGCTCCCTAAGACGCAGGATGATTCGGTGCTGCAAAATTCATCAAGTCAAGACCAATCGGCAGTTGCAGAATTTTTTGTAGCTCGTGTGACAGATCCAACGTCATACTTCTACCGTTTTCATTATGATGATTACCACCATTTGGCTGTACAAAAAGCAGAGGTTCAACTTGTTGACATCAAATGGCTTAAGCCTCATGAACAGGTTGTGAGCTGGGAACGAGTCAATGGACTTCGTAAGGCAATACTATCGTGGGACGCGTATACGGAACCACTACTGGTAGACGTAAGGACTGGAGCGATCTTGGATGGTCATCATCGCTATCATGTGGCTCTTCAATTGCGTCTTCAGCAGGTACCAGCTGTCTTAGTGGACTATTTGGGTGACAAAACAATTCAGGTAGATGTGTGGCCAGGCTGTGGACGTTCGCAATTGACGAAAGAAGAAGTGATTGCTATGGCCTTGTCACCTGATGTGTTTCCGCCTAAAACAAGTCGTCACAAGTTTTCAGAAAGTTTACCACCAATTTCTATTCCATTATCGATATTGCGACAAGTTTGTCTTCCTGTGACGCCGGTAGTGCCAAGTGAAGAGATGCAGAAGGAAACACTGCATTTGTTAGAGCGCAAACCAAGCTTGCAAAATGTATCAATTCTCTTGATCTGCGGTGCTCAAAATCTAGCTGCATCGGTGACAAAAAGTTTATTTCGAGGCCGACTGCGATTAGTTGATCGTATTCGAAAGTCAACACGAATGGATCTCATTAGTCGTCCTTCGTTCGACCCGAATGATTTTTTCAATGCAATTCGCGAGAATGACCTGACATCGAGTTTTTGTCAACAAAAGGCTGCGACATTGGAAGATTTGTTGTCGGATAATAAAGAGCGTCGAGAAAAGTTTTTCTTGACGCGAATTGCGGATCCGACGTCATACTTTTACAAATATCACTTTGATGCTCGTCCACAACGGCAACCGAAGAAACTGGAGGTGCACTTAGCATCTCTCAGCTGGTTGAAAGCCCATGAACATGTTGTGAGCTGGGACCGCGTCGAGGGTCTCCGTCGTGCTACAGTGCGTTGGAATGCTTATTTGGAACCGCTGTTGGTTGATCGAGCTACGGGCGCTATCTTAGACGGCCATCACCGGTATCACGTTGGAATTCAACTCGAATTAGCGAGCGTACCAGTTGTGTTGGTTAATTACCTGGAAGACGAATCGATCACCGTCGAGGTTTGGCCTAATTGTGGTCGTGACTCGCTAACTAAGCAGCAAGTGATTGACATGTCACTATCTGACGATTTGTTTCCACCGAAGACAAGTCGTCATTCATACTCGGACGATCTACCACCTATTTCAGTCTCCCTTGACCGTCTTCGTATACCATTGACAAAAGTATATACCACATTGAATTAATAGCAATGCCATGATAAACATGCGTTCATCAGAACGCGTAAATTTTATATCTCTATTCAACTACACAGTGCAATTATGTCTGAATTCTTAGACGCGCAAATGACCACGCCGTATCAAGCTTATCCAGAAAGTTTCCATCCCTCATAGGTACATTTGCCATCCCAAAATTTGCCTGTTGCAGTGATTGTCGGGCAGCTTCAGTAAGTTGCTCCCACATAATAAGATCTTGATACTCTCCAGACTTGGTCGTGCTAGTGAGAGCATGATTCAGTGGCCAAATTCCGGCGTATTTGACCTTAACACTTGTACCATTGACACGATCGGTGTGAGGTGGAGATTGAACAGTGTACCAACTGTGTGCAGAGGATGCGACGGCAAGAATTCGTGGCTTGTAAAGAGAGGGATTGTCAATCCAGACAATTATATGCTCCCAGTCGTGACGATGGCCTAGTAAGGGAAAAGCAGTATCTTTGGGAAAATACCACGAATACATGATAGCCCATAGTCCTCTGTGCCACGTTGAACGTCCATAGACCTGAGAGCCATATTCAGATCCCTTGCATCCTGCATCAGAGCTCCCTGACGCCTTGAGTCCGCCACTAATCTCTCCAGTGGCATTGACTGCTGGGTATGGATGACAACCATTAACAATGTTAATCTGGGGCTTAAACTTCACAGCTGCGTGTTCAGCGACCGTGACAGGCTTTGGCTGCTTGAATGGCACCACTTTATCGTGTCTCATAGTCTTTTGTATCCAAGGTGTTGGCGATGAAGCCAATGTCGTCGGATTTGGTGCAATGAATAAAATACTCGTCCAGATCACACCGAGGTGAATGATTTCGTTTCCTGCATGGCCAAAGAATCCTCCTAATTGATAGCCCTTTGGAGCTTTAACAATACGTTGAGTTTTTGTCTTTGTTCCTCCTGCTATTGAGTTTCCCATACTTGTGTTAAATCTGACGTAAAAGAGATGAGTTCGGCCTTCTAGCTTTCCCCAATGTGCTTCCGTTGACGTAATATGCTCCCCGATTCCTAGCGTTAAAGTTTTTGACACGCCTTCATTTCCACCGTGATTAAAAACCTTTTTCACGGGCAATGATATGAGCAGACTGACAGCATTGATATGCTTGCCAGATTGAATGGTAAGCGAAGCAACAGTTTGGCCTGATAAAATAAATAATTGATCTGAGAATTGTGTTTCGCGAGAGGAGTTAGACGCGATAGTACGCTTGATATTGTTTTCGGTTGAGTTTACCTTATCTTTTGTTAATACCGTTGACTCTGCTGTGTGTTTGCTTCCATACACGGATACTTGTAGCTCAGGGGTGACATCGTCGTCAATTATCTCACTCTTCGATCCACCTTTGTTTTCAAGTCGTCGTGGATCGTGTGTATCCGGCGATAAAATGGACCAGTCCGTCACGCCGGCATGAAATTTGGATGGAATTATGTTGTCATCGGAATTTGGAAGGCTGGACTTTTGGGCTTGAATTGTGATGATGCAAGCTATGAGGACTCTGAAAAGGAGACCAATGCTCATGATGACAGCTTTAACAGAGATTGACAAGAGATTGACGATGGATGATATACTCCCATCTATCAACTGGATTGGTTCATCCTGCTGTGCTTTCACGCCCTATATCGTTGGTATTCAGTACAATTTGTGCTGACTCCATTATATAGATTAATGTTGTGTGCGTATACGTGGTAGAACTCAATATACTGTGTTCATGTATTGTGTCATATATTCCGGAGTAAATATATATATCAGCGAATACAGTCGTCCCTCGGATTAAACCTCGAATAACTACTAAAAGTTTGTTCCACCAAGCTTATTTGTAGGTAGCCAAGTACTTACTGATAATTGGTAAAATAGTAGCTAATTATGAGTTACCCGAGTTTATAGCGCTTTGCCTAACTAGCTCCCTTCGGGTCTTTCTGTCTTATGATCATAATGCGACGTTAGGTACTGCATCAATTAACAATTCATACAAACATGAAATTTGTTTATGTGAAAGACAATGAACTGCCAAGCAATCATGCTGGACTGATTTAAAATCAGCCACGAATTGATGGCAGTCTGGACTGTCGCCGTCGTTTTGAGAGATTTCTTCACTTCTCGAATGCGCCTATGTACCACTCTATCTTTGAAACTCGTCACATCTAGCAGTGAAGCAGTAATTGCTAGGCTCCTTAGTTTTCCTGATTCGTGACAATCTGCTTTCCCACATCTTCGTTTTCTTGATCGTCATTCTCCTCTATTTCCGCCTTCTGAACTATCGCTATAATCTCGTCGTCATTCAATTCCATATTTGCTGTGTAGTCTTCTATCACTGGACTCATAAGCTTTTCAATAGTCATAGAATTATCAAGAGGAAGCCTTTAACTAGCATCGCAAAGGTCGATTTCAATGTATTGCTAATCCATGTTGGGCATCGATATTTGAGGAGCCCTGCAAAAAGATCAGTGTGGCGAAAACAGTTGGCGCGGTAGCTACTAAAATCTATTCCCAAGCTGCTTTGCTTCATTTCATTGCTTGGTTTGACCCCGATCGTCACGACAACTGTATTTTAAAGAAGATAAGGTATGTAATGTCGCTTGAATGCGGAGATTATCCCAGCATCCCTGAGCTGGGTCTTAGACGTGCAGTTTGAAGGAAGCAAGACCGCCTCGAAAATATTCACCTCGTGATCGTCGACTATTTGAGAAGTGATGTTTTCTAGTAAAAGAAGGATCCTACTATCTTTGGTCTAAAAGAACAGTGATTGAAATAGTTGAGGACACATCTAAAGCTTTTACATATTGTACCTTCATTTCGTTGTCAACCCTTTTCAACCACTCCTGGAAGAGGACGCCGGTCATCCACGCTTTCTTATTGCTGCAATACTAAAAACCCAGTTGTTTTTCTGTCTTTCGATCGAAAGAGCGAAGGCTTATTTTATTTTTCCAGTAAACAATGACTTGAGCTTCTCTAACCCATCTGCGTTGGCAGCAAAGGCAATCGTGATGCGGTTTTATGATGCAGAAGGGAGAATTGTAATTTAGCCAACCTTTACATTCCAAAGATATGCAAACAAACTTACTTTGTCTTGTCTACGTCTCTCAATCTACTGTTGTGCAATGGTCTTTTCTGAAACCATGGAAGGAAATTATCCTACGACGACATCAATTAATTAACTTCCGTTACTAACATCCATACCTGTTTCACCTATGTTGAACGCATCCTTTAGCTCATACTGAGCAATTATTGCTAAAAGCTCACGAAGGGCAGCATCGATTATTGCCTGATCTGCTGCACTACTCCCACCATGGATTTTGATGCAACGCAGCTTGTTCCGCTCTTAAAAAATTTCAGTTTTCAGCGCGTTGGAAAATTTTCATGCATCCTCGCGCAAGCCAAGTCGGTCAGCAAAGACCTATGAAAACGTCCGATCTTCGTGCGACAGGGTTGCTGTGCTCTTCGTATCGAGAAGCTTTGAATTTCAGTGTCCGTTTTAGCACAGGACTTATGATAGTTTCTTAGCTTTTATCAGGAGCGGAAAAGACACCGTCGCTAAGACTGACAATTTGATCTGCTATCTCCAAAGTGCATACAGTTTACTATCGTTCTCAATTGGAATTGTCTTTATCGTGAGTGTGCAGCTAGCAAACACGTGTATCAAGAAACTCTCCATTATGAAGTCCGTCATCATTATCAATACTGATATTAAAGTGCCAATGAGTATTCACCCACTTGTACAGTATACAATTGTGCGCGATGTATATGGATCAAGCTCACAAGATTACAGTACATATTCCATTACACTCTCCACCAATAAAATGCGGAACTCGCGGGGAGTTACACTAATTTCGCCTTGTTTGTGACACTGCACAAAAGGGACCGCCCAATGGACAACAGCTGTGCCTGAAGTTCCACTTCTTTCCTTGCATGCTATCCTGATATCAGAGAATTCTCACTCGCGCCAAAATTAATGAAATTAACGACATCCCAGCCAAAAACGGGATCTTCGCGACTTTGTTGCGAGTAATTGTCTTCATCAGTTGCTGTTTGAGCTGTCTCATGGACACTAGGAAGGCTGTAAGCGACACAAACTGGGCGCTGATGGTATCCCACTTTGACTTCTGCATCGTGGTCGTACTTTGCATTGTCAGGGGTGATACGACACCCTAGGTAAAGTTCACTTTGCTGAAGACAGGCAGATAAGCGACTTTCTCTCATTGATGTACGAATAAGTACTACTACTTTGCGAAGCTTTTGCCATATACCCAAGTAGTACGGATTTTTCAACCGCTGCTCCTTCAAGGGCTAACCATACATCCGATGAGTATCCGTTGCAGCTCCACATTAGCGCTGTTAGCACCTTCTGCAGTTTTAAAATGTAATTACGGCGTGATTTGGTCGATATATAGTGAAAGCTTGAGTACTTAACCACAATACATTTGATACAATTACTATCAATACCATAAACTAAGACTAAATGAAATTCACATCTAATTTTGGTGTGGTTAAAAATATTTATCAGCTGGTATTCATGACAATGACAGATTTCAGATCGGATTGGTTTTGTTGCATGCGTGCGCCGCGCGTCAGAAAAGAAATACAGTTTTAGTTTAATAATTTTTGCATACAATTAGCATCGATACTAGTTGCAATGCTTGAAATATATACTCTTGAAATACGAGAGCTAACGTTATCTTTTCTTACGACCGAGCATCTTGGTCTGGTTACTGACAGGACCAGTATCTATGCTTGTTGTTGTTGCAGTTACTTGCGCTCGAAGCTTCCACTATGCAAAGCAGACACCAATTCTATTGCATTGATTGTGATCTAGAAAAGAGCGGATCACGTCCTACTTCATGATTTCCTGAAAGGTTCATAAATATTGATAGCAAAAGAAGTATAATTTGCATTTAATTGATCTTGAATTCATTCTGAAAAATTTTCACAACTGAAAACAAAGCAGTTGCTGTTAAAAATTTTCGATTTAGTTGAGGATTAAACGCATAAACCCATTCACTGTGCGTTGTTTATAGCTGAAATCGTTCTCTTTGAGCATCAGCCATGACAAACCAGTTGCATCTGGCAGCACTCGTCGTCAACTTTAAGACCGAGTGATAGCACGAGTAGATATTTTGTAGTTCACGAAAGTTGCTCGCCAACCTGTCCTAGAGTTACAAGACATGTTTATACGGCTTCAATCTGTAGATGTTCTGTAAATATACCCCGCAAATGGTAGTTCAAGGGTCGAGGAGGTCAGCTATTCCCTCACAACGTGCATCAGCTGTAGAATACAGTGGTGGACTCCACCAAGAACACTACAACGGGACATATTAATTTGGCTCTAGCAAAGATGATTGGGCTAGGCTCCCATCCGGTTGAACACTAATTTGGAAGTAAATCTCTTTCTAATTCATGAAAATTGAGGGGCATAGATTCGACTATGCTTTACAAGCGACAGCTCGTTATTGCAGCTGAGAATCAGGGCGCAAGAAAGAACGCATATGTGCAGTTCATCGGCAAACTCGGTACTTCCAACATGAAGAGTAGAAGCAGTTGTCGTACGCCTATCAAATAAACCGCTCAAGCCCGAAATACTTAAATACTTCTCAAGAAAACGACAACTGGCGAACTATGGCCATAACTGGTTAAGTATCATAGCCAAAATAGTGGTAGCCAATCATATGGACCAGCAATGTCATCATCTTTAAAGGGCTTTGATCAGGTGAGATATGCACGGAGGCCATCCGAAATCTGCCAAGTCTTGTTCTGTGTGGAGATGGCGGGCGTAAATCGAAAGCGATGGAATGCGCTCGTGACTCAACTTGTTGAGCTTTTTTGCTGTTGGTGGCTAATCACATGTTAAAACTCTGCGTCAACGGGCGAACAGCTTTAAACGGGTAATTTCTTAAAAATCCGTATTTTCGGCAAGAATTGGCGTTACGCTTGCTCTTGAGGTAAGTCAATTTGGGCTTCTTGGGCCAGGGCCAGCTCGCCGGTAAGACCAGCATACGGCTTAGAACTTTGTTGCTACGACGGAATAGAGCGTAGCTCTGCTACAGGGGATGGTAGGGAAAGTATTCCGTCTGCGACAAAATTCATTTGTCTGACAAGGTCAAAATAGCAGGATCGTGGCGTAGCTTTAATAACGTCGCCATGAATGCTAAATATGCTTGAACACTCCTTGCAGAACATCGAGTATGACTCAGCGGTGCGGAAGTGAAAAGTTCGATGTCGGGTATTCGTAGCATATTATGAAAAATTACCGAAACTGCGTGGGTTTAGTGAATGAGAAGAATCGATTGAGCTTATTATCTTACAACATATTTCTATGTATTTTGCCTGTCCCTAGTGTTGCTCTCGTATGCCTTGAGTCTTAGCATTGCATCACGCAGTCTTCTCATGGCGCTCTGTCTTATTGAGATAGACTCACCCAAATTACTTGTTGTGGTAGCCGGGCTAATACCAGCAAGTCAATTTCAATCAATATATTTTTTCCGTTAGGACAACGCCATTCAACGTACCGTCCAGACCGCTAAATCATATTGTAGGACGAGTAGAGCGTTCAGATGCAACTTATTCGTTATTCAACGCATAAGTACCGAGCGTGAGTAACTCGCTTTGGCCCCGCGATTTCTCCGCGCAAGTGCTTTGGAGAATATGCGAGTCACGCGGCCCGTGTGCCAATTTGGGTGCGGATGGTCAGCGGCTGACGTATCCATTTGGTGTCGAGAACTTTGGACAATGCACGCCAATACTTTGCTGTAAAGCTCGGACATCTCCCTGATATAATGGCTACCGGCAAACTATAATTTTCCCGAGGAACTTGAAGATTCCACGCACTCTTGCGCTAAGGTAGCCACTCATTAGCGTAGTGCACACTAATTTAACCAGCAGCTAAGTGTGTACCACATAAACTGTTCAATGGTCCTACCATTCCATTGCAAAAATAACTTGAATCAATCCACATCTGTCATGTTTTTTAATCACAGCAGTAAGACGAGCCATGTTGTTCAGAGAGCTTTAAGGATTACAACAAGAGGATTATTGAACAAGTCAAAATAGCGATCAAAGCTTTCGGCGTTCTACCGGGACTGGTCAGGGGTGCCGCCGCATGCGGTGAGTGCTTAACCCGCTCACTGCTTTAACACGTGTTCGCAAATATACTTATTCACTTCACATATCGGGCTACAAAGCAAAGTGCTCACCGAATAGTACGTCTTTTTTGTTTAAGGTGGTCAGACAACGAAATCCCATGTACCTTGTAGAGTTTCCGGTAATTGTATTCCTCATCGCGAAGCAACATGACCCGCTGAATGTCGTGTAATACAACTACCTTTAGTAAAAGGCAAACCGATGCAGGCGTGCAATTACTCGCGTTGATTAAGCGACATCTGAGCTGCCAAGCTCCTTGCGACTTATAGCCATCAGCTGCGGAATTCGTACTACGTCAAACTCGTACGCTGTGCGTACCGCCTCATCATTTGGCGACGTTACCATTGTGACATGCGACAATTTATAGCGAAAGTGCATTCTTCACCGAAGAAAACCAATTTGTCTTTAACCTTACCTCAAGAGTATATTTAGTAGAGATGAAAACCATCTTGCCAATCTCTGTGAAAGATTCGTTGACGACGTCGCTGTGTGCAACGACGCAGGATATGAATAGGTCACGAACGGATAAGAGCAGGATTGGTGCACCCTGAACTTAATGAGGGACGTTTTGTTGAGGAGATCCTTGACATTACTGAGCATTTTATATTAGCTGCTTTAATCTGGCGAGACTCAAGCGCAATCACGCATTCATGCCCTTTGGAAGCAAATTTCGGCAAATCGCAGTCTACCTAGGTTGAAACATGACGGATGGATTGGAATCAATTCGGAAAATCCACATATTAGACTTTATTACGGCCTTGTTAGCAAATTTTTCCGCCGCATCCCAACCGATTTTGATATCTTTTTACGAAGATAAATGAATTGTCGTGTCGTATCGGGATTGTTTGCGCTGTACTTGCGCAATCGTTGGCAGGACGAAGCTGCATATTTGAGTCGATATGGAGCAGTTGTGTCGGCCAATCAGCAAACGACATTGTCGTTGCGTTAACTTCACACAGGCGACGACTACTATGATAAAACGGCGCTGGTGCAATATAACTTCTCTTTTGCAAAATCGGCCATCCCGCTCGAAGCACCCACCGCAGTGAGAAGGATGTCGTGTCTTTCATCAGCAAGTGATAACGTCCATTTACCATGAAATTTGCGCTGAACAAAGAAGCGAACCACGCTACATCCTATCAAGGACTTAGTGTCTGCACAAAATCTTGGCTGCATCGTACTTGATGTACGCATGCAAATCCACTTGCCGTTCACCGATCTGACACAGAATACCCGCATCGAGTGGGAATGTTTACATAGTATTCACATACGCACTTGGTGCTTCGCACGTAAGAAATCAACAGTTACGTTACAATGCCGGATATTTCTATAGTAAACGCACAACCTCCACATCTACTTCGGTCACAACTTTTCTGAGTAAAAGAATCCTTGCCACCCACACGCGAGATGACCTGTGCTCCAGATGGCGACCCGTCAAACAACAGTGCTGACTCAGTAGAATCGCCAAAATTGTGGCAAGGATGCAGAAGAAGCTTTGACCCATAGAGCACGTCCACAAATTCACAGAGGATGGGTCGTACGATTTACTTATAGATGGAACCGAGATAGAGATTTCATCTGCCTCTTAATTCAAGAATGATATTATAAATTGTGTTTTGCCTAGCTTATATTTGTCTTCGACTGTCTACAATGTTAAGCCCCACTGTGTGAGGTAAGCACCTTTGCTGTTCTGTGATCCTCTTCTTTATAGAGTTTCAGCACCTTCATCCGGTCTGGGTAAAATTAGTGATACTTCATCGTGGGACTTTACTTTAGACGACCTTTAATCCTTGGTTTTTCGTTAGAAGTACAATAGCGACAAAAGTGATTGTGCGCATACATACGGTACGTACTACGTTACAATTCCCACAGGTAAACCAGATGCAGTAATCTCTGGAGAATTTAGACTGTTGCGATGCTGTCTATTACGTCATCGCGGATAATTGTAAGAAAATAACATTTTTTATCATTATTGTTATTGTTCTGCTACTTTCCTATAATTTGATCGGATAAATGCCTAATGCTGATTGGCGATAATTAAGTTCTGCTCGTCTTTGGAAAATTAGTCAGATTCTGATTGGCCGCCTATCCTTTTGGCTTATCGTCAGAGTGAGGAGCATGCAGCCAAACTTGTTGTTATCTTGACTGACTCGTTTCTCATGGAGCCCAAGGCCGCCACGTCCCCGCCTGGGCGTCTGCCACGACTTAATCTAGATGAAACACTCGATGCGTCTATTGGATCCTTGTCTTCTCCTGACAATGTGATAACTAGCTCGACAGAACAATCCGTCGACTGCAAAGCAAAGTCCACAATAAAAGCGCTATCACCACTGAAAGAATCTGCCAAGACGCGACTCCGTAGTGAAACCAGCAATGTCTCGCAATTCTCCAAATATCGCCAATTCTGCAACTGGGTGCAACACTTACGTGATACGTTTGGAACTGCTTTCTTGGTACTTAGTACAATTGTGTACGTCGTTCAAGGCTTCTCGAGCTTTACGGTTTTAGCGATCAATTACTTTTTTAAAGACAATTTGGGTCTGCAACCAATTGAGTCGCAATTGCTACACATGATCACGAAGATTCCGTGGAGAGTCAAGCCAGTCTACGGTATTCTCTCGGATAGTTTGCCTTTATTTGGCTACCACCGAAAGTCGTACATCATGCTCTGCAGTGTCTTGCAAACGACAGTGACGCTAGTGATGGCTGTGCCAGACCTTGTTACTACACCAACGATGGCTGTACTTATGCTGATGCTACAAAGTCTGTCAGTAGCTGTTATTGACGTGGTGATTGACGCTAGAGTTGTCGAAATCTCTAGACTTGATCCTGAAAATGGTCCAAATGACCTGCAATCATTGTCGTGGGTAGCTACATCTTTAGGTGGCATGCTTGGTGCTTTCCTATCTGGTCCCGCTACGGCATGTTTGGGCGTACGTGGTGTCTTCTGTGCAGCAGCTTTGGGTCCAATCACGACTTTACTATTGTCAATGTTTATGGAAGAATCCCAGAGTACGCTGAGCAAGCGCGATTTTGTATCGTCTGCAACCAAGCAACTTCGACAACTCAAGATTGCCATTTCCACTCCTGTCGTTTGGATGTGTGCATTGTGGGTCTTTATCTCGCATGCAATCAGTCCCGCGTACACTCAAATTTTGTTCTTTTTTTCTACTGACGTGCTGCATTTTACACCCGAGTTCTTAGGAACTGTCTCGGCTATTGGCTTTATATTTTTAATGGCAGGTACAATGCTGTACAATACTTATTTCACGAATGTCTCGTTTCGAAGAATATTTTTTGTCGCACAATTATGTCTCGCTCTCGTGTCGCTTGTAGACGTTGTATTGGTAACACGTCTCAATTTAGAAATTGGAATACCAGACAAGGCGTTTGTATTGGGGGACCACGTGGTGGCAGATGTTATTGGTCGTCTCAAAACGATGCCGATCATGGTACTTTGTGCTAAATTATGTCCTAGGGGGATCGAAGGGACTTTATTCGCGCTCCTCATGTCAATTTCCAACCTCTCATACAGTGTGAGCGAATTCTGGGGTGCATTTGTTTGCGATTGGATGGGAATTTCGAAAGACGAATACGAAATGTTGTGGTTGGCTATTGTACTTCGAAGTGCTTTAAAAGTGGTGCCAATCTTTTTCCTCTTTTTAATTCCATCGTCAGATCCACAAGATTTGATTGACAAAATGGATTTGGGCTCACCAGTTCGCGCCAATCTAGAGGATGATAATGATACTGTTGGCACAATTCGAGAAAATCAGCAAGTGGATACTTGCTCACCCTCTGAACAAGTGGTCTTGAATAGCACATCTGCTGTTATAGTCTAGCAGTTGTGTAAATTTAAATTAAGATGTTGAGACTTTGTTATTGTCACCACACTAAAGACTTAGTGATACATGAATTTCTTAAGATCTAAAACTTAGCTTGCAATTCCTGTACTCTGACGACTTCTACCCGCCTTTAAGAACTACTGGTTTATAATCAACTTGTTACCGACACGTACGCTATGCTACTTAATCAAAAAGACTTTGCGAACTAGCTCAAAATCACGTCTACAGAATTCCAAGACAAGCTCGTTGGTACTTGTCATACCAGCGTGTCCGCCAATTGTTAATGGATTGGTCAATCAACTGGTTCACAAAGACTTGGCACGCACTCGTTCGAGCGCCCGGTTTCAGTCGCATTCGAAGGCCTTCAATAACAGCTTTCTTGCCACCAGCAAAACACGGCAAGTCTGCATTGCCCACAAGCATCATCTCAACAAGAAGCACAAGCTGATCCATGTTGCGACGCAACGCCAAATATGCACGAATGCAAAGTGAGCGAAAATACCGGAAGGTTACGCTGCTGGGACCACCCATTAGCTCAACAAATTCGTCTGTAAGCTTGAATGGAGCGCGCTCAAAATTCCAATTGCTACCGGGGCTGTTTGTAAGCAAAAAGCCAAAGTCGATGTGAATAACGTGCCCATCCGCGTCAACTAATATGTTGCCATTGTGGCGGTCCTTGATTTGAAATACGTAGCAGACGATTGAATAGGCAGCAAGACTTTCGACAAAATTTTGTTGTGCTCGAGCAAAGCGTCTAGAATCTTTGTCACCATGGAGTCGAATGTAGAAATCTAAAAGAGACGTGTAGCGTGAATCGTTGCGCTTAAGTGAATCAAGAGAAACTGTGTCAGGAACAGCTTCAATCAAACCAGTCTTTGCAGATGTGGCGATAACGTTATAGGGTCTAAAAAGGATAAAGACAGTCAGACTTTTTGTTCAATAGCAAGCGCTAGCATAGCAATTGTACCTTAAGGAGAGCGGAAGTGAATACTCGCGAAAAATTCGGTCACACTGGGCAATTAATTGCGCTGCAAATTGCTCTTGACGCAAATCATCATTGCTTTTTACGATGACTGAGAGGAGGCGCCATCCAGGATGATCTCCGAACGGTGAATCACGGCGAATCCGTGCTTCCTTATCTTGCCAGTACTCTCGAAAAACAACCTTCGGCGTTTTACTTTCACCTAACTGATGTATCTCTCCATTCTCCTCATCGACGAGTGCATCGCAATCTGTCAATTCAGATTCAGGATCTCCGTTCGAAGAATCATCTTCCAAATCAAATCGTTCTCTCCACACCAGTGGATCCTCAAAATCAAGACTTACACTAAGATCACGTCGTAACTTTTGAACAGAAACACTATCTCGTACACTAATGTCGGACACACGACGTTCACAAGTCTCAATTTCTCGAGCACATACGCTTTGAGGAGATGAAGTTGCGTCCTCAGCTCTTGTCGTGGCATACTCCGATTCCGAGTCAATCGACGCAGCTGTAGGTTTCCGGAAAAACATAGATACAAATGAAGCTGCTGGTTGTCTAGCAGGTGATGGCTCAGGTTCGAGCGCATAACTCTCCTCGTCTGAAAATATGCATCCATTAGAATCTGTATCTTCGGCGTCGCCTTCTTCTGCCTCAAGAACAACCGATATTCGTCCTTCATTGGGTTTTTGCGAAAACGCCGAAGTCGCGACATCCTTCTCCATGAACTCAAGCGCCATTTTGTTTCCTCGTTTCGTCTTGTCTGCAGCGTTACAAATTACTTCTGGACTCGGTTTGACTAATGTTGCTGCGTTTGCAGATACTTCCACCTTTTCTTGCAGCTTGTTTGCAAAAATGGCAGCTACCATTGGTCTGTTCTGCTTTGATTTCTCTTTGCCAGAGACAGAAATATTTACTGCGACGGGAGCTGGAGCTGACACATCCGCGGTTTTCTTGGAGAAAATTGAAAAGCGACGTCCTTTCTTTACCGGTGAAACAAAGTTATCAGCAATCTCTGGCTTGGAACGACCGGTTTTGGTACATTCCTTCTCACTTTCTGTTTTCGAGTGTGAAATGACCGACTCTGGCACCTCCAACGATACAGTATTGTCAGTTGGTCTCCCATACATCTCAACTTCGGAGCAAAAAGTAGCATTATTTTTCATATGTTGCATTTGAAGACCATTGAGTTCGTCATCAGCTTCTTGCTTCGTCATATCAGAGCACAAAGACGAGTGAACAACCTTTTCTCCAAATGGAATCGAAGCGCTTAAAGTGTGCCGACGCAGCTGCCGATAAGATTGCGGCAACTTCCATTGTTGATCTTCTCCATCAATTGGGCACTGTTCACTTTCGTTTAAGCCCATCATAGATCTTTGGTTACCTTTCTCATCTCCGTTTCCTTCGTTACCAGTCGGAGTTGCCACGTCTTGACCCTGATTCATGTCATTTATTGACGTAGGCGACGGCTCACTTTCCGTGTAGGTACTACTGGATACTGGCGAGTTGTCTTCAGAAAATTTTGGCACCAAGTTGGTATGTTTCAACGGAAGTTGGAGGGAATAGACCCGCGATTGGTTTAGACTAACTTTGGATTTTCGCCTCTTACGTAGACTTTTCGATATTGTAGTACTTGATGACACTGAGTAATCCAGCACTTCAACACAGAGGAAGTAAGGGACTCGTTCCTTTGTTGAAAATGTAAAACACTCTTCGATTCGGATACCTTTGACGCGATGATATGAATTTCCAATCGGCAAGTAAATCACATCAGAGGGCAGCATTTGGGCTTCAATATCCATCAAACCTCTGCGTAACTGGTCATTACGCTGAGCACGAGGCGTAGGAATAAGCTGATCAGCTAAGTCTGTCAAAGCTTCTACAAACTTAGGCGTTTGCTGAAAAAGCTGCTTTTGCTGTGTATTTCCTTCATATAGTCGAGCTTCGTGCTGCAGCTTGTTTCGTTTACCAAGCAAATGACCTGCAAATGCCTCATCAGTTTCCAATATTGAAGCCTCCAGATCAGTATCAGTCGGAAATATGATCGATTTTCTCTGCTGTAAATTTTGCGGTGTCACTGCAGAAACTTCTTGGACACAAAGACCTCTATTCATTAGTAACGCTGGTACTCCTGCTCGCATGCCAATTGCGTAGAGTAAATCAGACATTTCATGCCCTGCCGACGCTGTGAGACTCAAGTATTCCGAATGATACTCTTTTGCATCGTTGCAAAAGGAGCGTAAGAACCACGTTAATCGATGTGCAAACGGCAATGATTCGCCACTTCTTGACATTAAAAAGCACTCGAGTTGATGTTGTTTGGGATAATTCCCGTGAAGGAGAAAGGTACAAAGCTGTGGGATGTAGAATTCAAATTCGATCGCATTAGCATCGTAAGTGCTGTAGAGCTCTTGAATGACATCTTGATGAGCATAAAGCTTGAGTAACAAGTAAAAGACCTCATCCGATGCTTCACTGTGCTTTGGTTGACTCCCTGCTAATCTTTCCATTGCAATGTGAAGTTTTTCGTCCCAGAAACGACGAAATATTTCCACCTGCTCAAGTTCCTGTCGTGTCTTTGTAAGAAGCACAGAATCACGTGGTGTCGAGTCTGCAGACGACGTACGCGTGGTATCCATCGTACTTGATCGTTCCTTAGTCTTCTTTTGTGGCTTATTAGCTTTACGAAAGACTGAGTCACGTACTTTAGCTGGTAATTCGACGATTGAAAAGCGCGATGGTGGCTCTGACAAACTTGACGAACGCCAATCACATTCGTCTGCGCCCCACCCTTCACTATGATTTTCATCACCGCTTTCATCGTGAATGTGTAAACAAATTAGGTCTTTCATCGTAGCGACAGACGTCTCAGTCTCCTCCATCTTCATCACCCCCATTCGATGGTTTTGGGGGTAGAGAATATTGAGTACTGGGGGTCGTAAAATATTCCTTGAATTTGTATTGGTCCGTAAGTTTTTGATTTTATCGCTCGCTGCAACGGACGGGACGGTTTAGAGAGATCACTACCGTCTCTGCACATTGTCCTGCGCCTTTCACTGATAGTCAGTTTTTCGTTTTCAGACCTCGAGGTTAAGCTAGTTAATTTCATGGTTGAGACCTTCCGCTAGAGCAGATGGACGGACTATGAGAAAACTTAATGCATATGCTTCGAAACATTCGATGATTGCCCACCGCAATGTGCACTTTTCACTCGTATGATTCGACTACAACGTCTCGTACTTCCACCGCAATCGCGTGTAAAGCGTGATTTTTTTCTTCCCTAACACACACAGCTGCACGACGCTCAACTGACTTGTACAGTAAAAGGCAGTCTCCTGACATAAACGCACGAAACGCTAGCCAGTCAGTGCCTACGAGTTTTTGAGAAATTACTACTTTGGCATTAAACATCGAGTCAGCGCTGTTGTCGAAATGCCGAACCTAACCTGAATTGTATTGCAGATCTCAAAATGAGCCTTGTGCAACCTTGCGAGCACGTCCATCCTGCAAGTAATGATCCAGTAAAGTCATGCAGACGTCTACCAACGGGCGCCAATAGTACTTGATACAGTACTATTCGACGGCCCTAATCATGCTTAATGTATATGACCTTTTTTTGGGTTTGTGTATAAATAGCGACTGTAGTATTAATCCAGCCAGTGATTAAACTACGTGTATACGCCCCTTATCTGTTTTATCGGTAAGAAAAATATTAATGCCGTTTTTTGTGTCATTGCACATGCCGAAGAAAATCGTCACCTTTCGTTCTATGTTCAACCAGTAATGTGTCTCGTACCAAGATGACCTGTGTGTGGTATCTCGTGTCCTTGAAGGCACAAATTGTTATAAATCGCCAACCACCGACTTCAGCCCTTATTTCCTAAGTATCTAATACTCGTCCCCCCCGACATTGGTAATGATGTTTTATAGAAGTGTAGAAATGAGCATCGAATTTAAAGTGATGCATTCTTCATGTCCTTAAAAAAATTATGATACTTATGTCGCACTTGTTAGTGACAGGCTACACGTAATTGTACAGCCTAGCGTCTGGAACGAAAGTGGAGCAGAGTATTGAACTTCTTTGATAAAAGTTGACAAGGGCAATGCGAAACGTAAGAGTAATAGTGGTGAGCTACAACATCACTATGCTAGCATGGGAACAATAGTAATGTAACGTCTGATGAGCTCGAAGTTAATCCCGCCTGGAATCGCTACCTTTCTTTCTGAGTGTCGTTTACTGACTCCAAGTGGGTAGAGCTTTACCAAGAGAATGGATAAAGAAGTATGACGAATTCAACACCCAAGCGCATTGATGAAGATCTTGAAAGTTTACAATATCGGCTTGTCGCAACGAGGCGACTCAAGTTTGGTGTCTGCGACCGGCGACCAGATCGCGAGAGTACTATATCCAATCGTATTTATCGTGAAGTTGCCCAACGTTTAACTTATAGCACAAAATACGCTAGTGGAGTGACCGGAGCTGGAGAATCACACGAAGAATACAGCACGGATATGAGACTTAGAAGTTTCAGTGTTCAAGAGTGTACAGAGTTCTTTTGATACCACGATGTTGAAGGGAGAGCGACTGCCGATTTTGGGGGATTGACGATCGGACTATGCACGACTATTGGAAATGTTGGCTACGTACAAACAGTTTGGACATCGCCGCGAGTGTAATCATCGATAACAAAACATGGATAATGGGTCCCTCGAGGACCCACGACTTAAAACGAACGACAAAGGAAAAATGCAGGGAATTGTGGTCAATCTGAGTGTACCGATGCCAATGAAGTGCCTAGAGTAAACATGCGAAGCACAATACTTGTCCAAAGAGGAGCTGAAGCTGGAATTCGTTAGAAACGGATAGTTGATCAAGGGACTAAAACGAAGTGGATAATGCCAAACGAAACAAGACCGAAGTTGTTGTATAAGAAGATGGAATGAGATTTACTTTACACTGAAAGTGGAGCAGGGTAATGTTGTCGGTTGTTTTGATTGTACGGTAGCCTGGATTCGTGCGTATGAAGCTGATTTAACCCGTTAAATGCTGCACATCCTCTGTTTTGATTTGAATGGTGAAACTGTACGTGAGGAGTAGTGAACTTTGCTGATTGCTGAGGTAGTGTCTAACCTTTGCCGGTAGTTTTCATATTTCTGACTAGCTGTGTCTTGTGTTCTTCAACACTCACCAACTGGGGAACAACTTTTGAAGCAGTGCCTTAAAACGGGGTGTATTATTTTGGTGGAGTTTTCGACTTGTCTTAATGCCTTAGAGTAAGCGGAACATGCTTTTCATAGAACTCAAGGTGTTTATTAGAAGATAGACGCACTCAAAGTTGAGGATGATAATCTCGAGCTGAGGTAGTTAAGTTTGATCGCGAACGTCCAAACAGTAGGATGTCTAGAAACTGCTCCGGCGAATGGATTTAAGCAAATGAAACGAGTTGCAGCCTGAAGTACAATTGCACTGATCTACAGAGGATTAACATGATTATATGGTATGATGAATACAACTATAAGTGAGAGTGACTCTCGCTATTACTCTGACAGATTCAGCTTTGTGCATAATAACTCGTGGTAGCAACGCGAGTTGGTGATATGTAAAATTTGAGTCAAGAAAGTATAGGTGGGTGATCTCAAGGAACAATATAACCCATTGGATGTTCGAGCGCTAGATTGGTTACTAATTGTCAAGACGTGAGGATGAAAGCATCTTTGTGATTAAAAATTCTCATCTATGTATTTGCTCGTAGTGTTGCGGTAAAGTATACGCGGTAGACTGTTGCGAAGGAAGACAATAATGCTATGAAAGCAAACACAATGATAGAGAATCAAACGCAATGGCGTATCGTCGCAAAAACAACTAGTGCATCTACAGAGGTTTGTTAATCTGATCGCTTTAGAAAGCGAGTGAAAAAAATTCTTCACGAAAGGTCTGTCTATTGTTCCATCACGTCAGAGGTACGATCAGCCTAACGTGCATTCACCATTCCATAAGTACAAAGGTCTTAGCTGATTTTGATTTATTAGACACGACACTTGTATGTTCTCAATAAGTAGTGTCGAAATGATACAGGTTATGAGAATTGAGGACACGAAACTACAAAAATGACCACGCACACAACTTTCTCTTCTTCGCGAAAAAGCAGCGCATCAGGGAGTTCGAAGCTACACTAGAAACTATAACTAATTTTAGTTGTAGGCATAGTGATAGCGCGACACAAAGATTTATTACAAGATGCACAATCCTACAATGTTGCAAATTAAACACGCCATGACCAGTTGTCTCGATCTTTTGGCTTGGGTTCATCGCTTGAGTCAACAGAATCCCAAGAATCCCGATTACGGATTCGTCGTCGATCATCGCTTGAGTCATCGGAATCCCAGGAATCCCGATTTCTACGTTGATCATCGCTTGAATCACTCTCCCTTGCACTCCCAGATCCAGACGCCGGTTCTTCTTCTTCTTCATGTTTATGCCCATGTTTCTTGTGCTTCTTCTTACCGAATAATGAACGCTCCTCCACTTCAGTCGAGTCTTTGATGCCTTGAGTACCTTCTATATGTACAGACAAATGTCGACGCTTGTCCTTATCAATATCGGTTCCAGAAGATGATTTTTTAAGCGGAGAAGTTGTTAATGAATCAAGCGAAGTGCTGAGTCCGTCACCAGTCGTCATCACCATGGCAACGACAGCAGTAGAGAGTAGTACACTATGTAGACGCATGACCGTTTCAAAGTTTTGAGTTTTGATTCCAGGTCTTGAGATGCTGAGCTAAATAGTATTTGTGATTCAATCAAACAAGTCCGAGATTTTGCACTTCCGCTGAGATAATGTAAAGGCTTGAGCCAATTGTTGACTTAGAACAGGACGTTTTAAAACAACACTTCACTTGTTCTATGTGCACGATCATTTTCTTGAATAGCTTTACGTTACATATGGTACAACTACATATTTATGACGAGAATAGTTTAAGGTGTAAACCAACGCTTTTGAAGACGAAGGATAGCGTATGTTTGCTCGAAGGAATAGCCTGCCGGGTGCACCTGATGTACAATAACATGCTTTTCTTGACAAGTTTGGTTGCCTTATCCGCAGGAACAGATTTTTTTGCCTATCGCCCGAAGCGAGAGATTACGATTGGAAGCACAAAAAAAGTTAGCTTTGTTACCAGTTCGGTTCAAGCAACTTATAAATCGTAATGTTTGCCTATAGGCTATGGTCACCGAAAATTATCGACATAACAATGTCAAATGTTGGGTGACGATGGTGCAAAAAATAGATTCGATATGACAAAGTGAACTTTGTCAAAATTGGTAGATAGACTGCTGGCCCAGGACTTGCTTTCAATCACTTAACCTTCGTCGAAAGCATGATAGTAGGCTGCTTTTTAAGGCCACAAATGGATCGGAAGTTCTGCAGCGCTTTTGTATAGAAAATTAATGTCATCGTATTCATGATCAGTAACAAATCGCTGAGAATTCACTTGTTGTGCTCTAAGTTCGTCACCGAAGTAATTCTCAGAGCTCAAAAGCCCACAAGTTTCGAATGATACACAAGAAAGGAGGTATCCCTATCCAAGAATGATAGCCACAAGAAAAGAGAGATCTCTATCCAAGTAATCTTCGAAACTTGTTTTGCATATTCAGTGGCATCGACGTGTTTATACAGAAGCCAAAGCCATGCGCGCTCTTATTGTGCGATTAGCGACATGAGTGGATTTTTGCAGCATTATTGGCTTTCCAAGGATGCTGCAAGTGGCACATTTACTACTACTGATGTGAAATATTCTTGCGTACCTTCCAAACCAATATATGTAATGAGGTGCGTATCATATTGTCGTGAGCTCACTATCTATTCCGAGGTACGAAAACAAGTGCCATAATGAAGATCAAAATTACGACGGATGAGGAAAAGATAGGAATTCGTGAAGAAGCTGGTGGCGCACTACATATGGCTGGCTGTATGTTTATGATTTAAAAGTACTTTTGTATGGGCTGATTATATATAATCATATGATTTATTTTTGATCAAAAATCCTTTCTGACCAATGGGAAGTGGCCAGTGCATTTCCTTCAGAACAGTTAATGATAATTTGCATTATTCTCTTACATTTCGACAGGTCGCCACGAGTGTGAGCGCACTCATGGAGACTGTACGAAGGAAGTTCATGAACGGAGTAAGCTACAGATGCGAATGTGACCATAAAGTACAATTGCAGTTCTTACAATTGTACAAAGTTTACATTGCTTTGATGTGAGAAGGTGAATATTCATGAATACCAAAATATCAAAATTTATGAAAATGCTTAAAATGTTTTATTAGGAGATATGGTATGGCGCAATAATATGATAAAAATTGGTCTAGTCCGAATATTTGACAACCTTAAACGAATGAGTAAATAGTTTTCTATGTAGATTCCTGGAATCGCTCATGAGTAGAGCGTACGAGCACAACCACTGTGCGATTGTTGACGCAAACTCTCAAATACAACTTTTTTCTGCGCGACGTCAGGGCAGCCTCGTTAAACTTAGAAGCACTTGAATTCATTATTACGACCAAGTCATGAGAGGAGTGTATCCACTGTTAGAATGAAGTAAAAATTGGTCAAGTACTTGCATCAATCAAGACAACAATTCACGCCTAAAGAGCTCTTGCCTATTGCTGGTCCATACTGGAACAGAGAGCTGAGGCCAAGAGCTAGTTGCTGAAATGGCTGACCGGGAGGCACACACCAGCTTTTAGTATGCGCTGGTAGTACATCCGAATTGAGTCAACTTTACGCTGCTGCGAGCTTCCAGGCCTTTGAAGACCAAGCCGTACAAATGACCCCCTTTTAGGCGAGGGAGGTTAAATTACCGTGAAATATGCCCAGCTACGAACAAAACAACAACGCCGCGCTTGCGGTCTTCAAGCTGAGAAAACACGGTAGAACAGATATTGGTATGAAGAGTTTAAATAAAAAGCTTGGGGCGACAGCTAGCGCGATATTGTCTGGTATTTCGGACGCGCTCGGAGCGGCTGAAGCATTGCCAAGAAAGCCGTGAGCTAGCGGGCTCTGTCCTGGAGTAAGAAAATTTAGTCGCCACAATAGCTTCAAACCCTCTCCAGGAGGCAGACATGGTGACCATCTTCATAAAATATCTTCGAATGGGTATGACCTGCGTTTTTACCTTCTAGGTCATTATCTCGTCGGGAGGGGGTGTCGCACCGAACTCGGAGTACAAATTCGAACTGCAAGGACCTAATGAATTACTGGATGTGAAAGTTCTTTACTTGCGCCAGAGGCGAAGGACTTCAGGCATACAATGGAGTATGAGAGAGATCTCTAGACTGCTCTTTAGCTCCACAGTACCCGTATATGGTTGACCTTCGATTGTACAATTATCGGTGCCTTGTCTATCACTTCGCTTTATGCTGATTGGTACGAAGGATAGATCACCATACAGAAGCGGACGACAAACCCCTAGCAGTTTCACATCGAGTTCAAGTAGGCGCAGGATGGCTATCTGTGAATGAATTGGCTCATGCCTCATATACAATGGCAAAATAGTTAGCTACCGATATATCTTAAAGAAATTTTTAAAACATGACGGCTTGATGAGAGGGCGGATACTCCATTGCTACGCATTATCTCATGTACGTTATGGCTTGTTGCATTGTAGCATTGGATCAGCGTGTGGTATGTGTCAGCAGGGATCTCAAGTACAAATACTGTGAGCGACACGTGGTTCTTTTCTGGGGGACTAGATCGGACAGGAAAAGTCATACTGTTAGGTGACCGCTATGTATCGTTGGACCAAATTTAAACGTGAGTTAGCACACATTTGCGCACATGTAAACCGTGTCAAAAATAAAACCCTCATCGCATGCATCGGCTCCCATACACGCAATGTAAACCTAGGTTTTATCACACTTAGATGATACAAAATTTTTATAAATGCACTTTAAATTAAGACCGACATGATTTTACATGCATGGCAATTTCGATATCGAAAAATACAAAGAAGAGGTTACTAAAAAAAGCCCTCAGTTTCGCTCTTTTGTGTAGCGGCCAATCTCATTATCTGTGCATTGGTATTCGCAAAATTATTGAGCCAAACCTTTTGCTTTGCTATATGCTCGACAATTTCGTTGCGTCTGACACATGCCAGTTATTTACATCTTCATACGTTCGCTTAATGGCACGTCATAAACACATGAGATGCCTCACACGCGAGAATCATGCACCCGGAGTCGCCTTCATTATGTTAGTTTCAACCCATAGTTTGGCATTGAGCCAAATGCCGTATACGCGTGTCCATGAATTGAATTTGGTTAATTCATCCACCGAGCAAGTCGTTTCAGTTCGTTAATAGTCTTGTGTATATTATGGAAGATAAGACTCGGTTGGGGAGACTTGAGCTCGGAAACAGACATTTAGAATCAAGACATAAAGTGTAACGGGGTTACGCGTACCTTAATATACAGGGTGGGTCACACAATGGTGTGGCTTCACCTGAATTAGAAGCCACAACGTGGCGGGACTGCCAGTTGTTATAGATTTTAATTAGGTTCTACTATTTAATCAGGAATACCTACAGATTTAGATATAGGCGGCTCTGCCGCAAATTAAACAAAAGAAATACAGTTCGGTTTGATCGAAAGAGTATATTTGCCTTGGTTCAAGATTTGAGTACTATTGGAGGAAGCGGATTGCGATCCGCTACTCTTATACTGTTTCTAATATGATCGTGAGGTCCGTGACCTTAGCTTAGCTTCTTCAAGCATAAAGCTACGGCAGCCCTGCTGCTTTTGGTAGCACATGTAGTCAACCTATATCTGAGTCGTTACGACTGATCCTCTGTGGGGATGGAGCAATTCTCCTGATTGTTCCAGGGCACGCTGGACGGTCTGAAAAGCTGATGACCCTCGTGCAACACCTTGCCTCGCAAGGTCCTGGAGCGACAAACGCGCGTATAGAGGCGTTTTGAGTTATTAACGTGTTCTGCTAGAGCAATTAAAGTAGATGGTGTCGGCGCCGCTCCTGGTAAAACTTTGGTAAGTCATGAACCCACCTCGGCTGTGAAGCAGAAGCAGTATTGGCGCGGGAATTAGACCGGGACGATCAACATGCTATAGATTGGTGCGTCCGACTTGTCGAACACCATAGGTGTATTGGACGAGAGTCCCGAGCGTGGCCCGCGGGCTGAACGAAGAATGGCGCGTAACCACTGTGCACTGCTCACGTTTTAAAGCAGCTCCTGCATGCCAAGAGTGATGATGTACATTATTTAAAGCCGCAGGGCGTCGACCCTGACCCAGGGTGTGTCTACATTAGACTATAGCGCATAATTATATATCTTTGCCAACGGTATGACGGGGTAGGAAGACGGCAAAGTCACTCTTGAGGCTATTCCTGCGGTAGATGCTCTTCTTGAGCTGGATAAGATATTCTTCAAATAGTTCGACAGTGCCATAAGGGCAGGTGACTTATCATCATACGACAGGACGAGAAAGTCAACTTGTCGTCGCTTTTTGATGAAGCTGTCCTGGAGGACACCAAGATAAAGCTGAACGCACGAAGTAAAACTTCGACCCTAAGGAATCCCTCGTATCCGTACTGTCCATTGTCAAAGGAGTAACAGGACGTCGTTTCCAACGACCCGCCGTCGGACCCACATCTGGAATGAGGTAGATTGACCTGGTTCTGGGAGCCAAATACTGCATAGCACGCCAATTGCTCCTGCCTAAGTAGCAGTGTGATGTCACTCATGCCCTTTTCCAAGCAACGCACGACGCAGAAGTGGTGCGTGAAAGCAAGTCTCCCCATTCGACACCCACATTTTGTGTTTATTAGCCGAACGGCAAGGGGCGTATCGTTTACGCTTACGATAAGCACAACGCCGCCACCATTCCGGCACATCGGCCGATTCCTAGGAAGGATGTTCTTTAGAACAGCATGGTTAGCTGTACATAGTACATAGCACCGAATCGACGGATACGCGACTAATTGTGGCTCCTCATGATGAATTTAAAATAACATATCCTCTATGAGGCCCACGACACCCTACTCAATGTTCACCTTGATCGTCCTTTCAGCGTCGTCTGTGACGCTACGGACTTTGCCATCGGCTGTGCACTGCAAGCAAACTCCGAGGGGCAAGATCGGGTGATCGCGTTCAAATCTCGACAGCTCAAAGCTGCGCAGAAGAATACCCAGTTCATGACAAGGAGCTACTTGCGATGAAGTATGCACTTGTCAAGTTCAGGGTTCACCTGCTCGGCTTCAAGCCATTTGTGATCTATACAGATCATGCGTCACTACGTACTGCGATTCAGTCGCCCCACTTCTCGCAGAGGATGACTAGATGACTATCCTTCTTTGCAAAATATAACTTCGAGGTGAAGTATAAGCTGGGAAAGCAGAATGCTTTGGCTGACGCGTTGTCGCGCAGGCCGGACTATGATCTTGCTCATATA